AAACCGTGTGCTGACACTATCGGACCGAAGAAACCGCCCTTATCAACGGGCAACATGAATCCGGAAGCGGGGCGACATGCACGAAGGACAAAAATATGGCGGTGTATCTTTCCATGTTCTGGCGGAAGATTCATTCATACGTTGGGTGGTGGAGAACGAAGGGCCGATGAATCAGRTAAGCACGTAACGTATCTCTGGAAACTTTTTTTTTTTTTTTTGGAGAATCTCTGAACAAATGAGACTGAATCCTCCGCTTGAACATGGAAACATACATTGCCATATATGGGCCTCGCTGCACTACTCTGGAAATGTGCAAAACGAGAGTGAATCTTGCATTAGAATATGGAAAGATACACCGCCAATATTTTTGTCTTTTGTGCATGTTGAGAGTAGTGCAGCGAGGCCCTATGTCTTGTTGTGCATGTCGAGAGTTGTGCAGCGAGTCCGTTGGTGAACATTACCGTTGAGGTTCTGACAGGTTGGACGCGCCGGGCGTCACTCGTGCAAAGAAATTCTGATGTTCTTCCTTAAAAAAAAAAAATCCAGGATAAACGGCTGTCAGTTCCGTCGTTTTCTACTTCAGAAGTAATAAGAAGAGATCGTTTTGAGAGATTGCGACCCTCATCATGACTGAATCTGGGCTGCAAGAACCCTACCATACAAACTGCAATTACCGTTGAGGTTCTGACAGGTTGGACGCGCCGGGCGACACTCATGCAAAGAAATTCTGATTTTCTTCCCTTACGTTTTTTTTCTTTTTATTAAAAAAAACAAAATTCCAGGAAAAACGGTTGTCAGTTCCGTCGTTTTCTACTTCAGAAGTAATAAGAAGAGAACGTTTTGAGAGATCACGACCCTCATCATGACTGAATCTGGCCTGCAAGAACTCTACCATACAGACTGCAATAACCCTACCATACAGTGTCACACAGAGTGTTACCCGGACTACAGGTTACTAAAAGCTTTCAGGCGAGGAATTTGATTTTGAATTTTGAGAAAAAAAAAAAAAAAAAAGCTTTCAGGCCAACGTGCGGCCTCCAAAAAAAAATTGAATGGCCGTTTCTTATTTTACGCGAGCAGGGGGGCGGGTCTACTACCGCCCCTCACAACTTTTTTTTTTTTTTTTGACCCCTATTTTGGGAGGTGCGCCGCGTGCAGTGTGCGCGCGTCATGCGGGAAGTGCGGTTAGGCGCACGTGCGCAGTACAACGCATCGCGATGCGCCACAAGTATGGTAAAAAGATCTAAGAGAAAGGGAAAAAAAAACAAAAAACACAAGAAAAATGTAAAAAAGAAAGGAAAAAAAAAATACAGAAGGAAAAAAAGAATGAGCAGGATCCGTTCACTGAGCTGGACACATACCCTCACTCCTGCTTTCTGACACAATTTGACAGCCTGCTCGACGCCAGGTCTGGGAGGGTCCTGTTAGGAAGTCGGAGAGTAGCGACAACAGTTAATATAATGAGGGATTGCAGACAAAAGATAAGGATGGAAAAAAATACAATCAATTTCATTATCTTTCTAATAAGTTTCTACCAATCATCCCTTTCATTTCTTGGAAAAGAATTTCCATAATCAGGGAAGAAATTAAGAAACTTACTTTAGGAAAGCCAACGAACGAACAGTCCCTCATAAGTGGACCAGGTTCCAATTTTTCCAAAACTATCACAGTAAGAACGCACTTGGACGTCTCCTTTGGGACATCCATTAAAAATTGGAATTATAAAGAGAAGAATCAGAAGATCATCATGGCCTTTGTGCCATGATGAAATAAATGAATGAATGAACGAATGAATGAATGAATGAAAATTATAAACAAATGAAAAGAATGAAAGAATGAGCGAATGACAAGAATAAAAGAATGAACGAATGAACAAAGGAAGGAAGGAAGGAAGGAAGGAAGGAAGGAACAAATGAAGAGATTGTTCACGTGTCAACCCTAGAGTCATATTTTTCTCCAACAAAAAAATGAATATGCGTCTTATGGCAAATTTGTACACAGATTAGATATAGTTTTGTTCTTGATGACTTAATTAGATTGATTTTCACTCCCTTACATATCTCTTTTTTTCTTATTTCCAAATTCAAACTTAAACAGTCTTCAACTGCTGGGCTAACAGCAGATTCAGACGTGAGAATGGAGATGTCTGAAAAGCACTCGTTACAATTAACAATGCCATTATGCACATCCAACAAGAGTAACGATTCCAACTCCATCCAAATGCGACTTGTCCCCAACACGTTTTACCGCTTGCAATCCTCCTCACGAGAATGCCATGAATAAAACAAGAAATGCCCCCCCCCCTTCTCCCCCGCCCCCCAAAAAAAAAAAAAAAAAAAAGTGAGCCAGGTGCAATGCTCCGCACTTGAGCGTGCAGATGACCAAATGCATGATCTGAATGAGGATATGTAAATCCCCAGGTGCATTCCGACCAGGCCAGTTTCCAGTGGTGGTCCCTGCGCTCGAACCTTTTCCCTCAATGACATGCAATAATAGTACTGCATAGCCATAGCTATAAATTTCCAAAGTTCGCAAGATCAAATATAGTCTCTGTTCTGAACTCCTCAATGTCCTCATCAGTTTTAAAAAAAATCTTAAAAAAAGTCAAAGTTCGCACTTTCTCCGAACAGAGTTTTCAATTCTTCATAGCTATGGAATCATAAGTCTGGGTTTCTAACAGTGTTTTTTTTTTCTTTTTTCTTTTTTCTTTTTTAATCCTCGTACAAAAGGCCTTGAGGCTTGAAGACCTTCGGGGGATACCAGATACTATTGAAACTGAGATGATGCAAAGAACAATAGCTGCTGATTAGTGTGGCCCCTGGGGAGCTAAGGATGCCCACACGCAAATCGAGAAATTGTTCAAAAGGAAAAAAAGAAAAAAAAGACCTGCAGGCTTGAGCAGAGACCTCTGCCATACCTGTCCAGGCCTTAAGCACAACCAGAGACCCATCCAAATGGACTCACTATGACACCGCTGAAGGCACACCTTTCCCCCCTCGCCATTCTCGCCTCGGAGATACCGCAAACCTCCAGTCCACAGGGAACCATTGTTTAGGGTTTAGGGTTTAGAGGGTGGTTTAGGGTTTTAAGCTCTTAGAATTGTGGGTTTATGCCTTAGGGTTTAGGGTTCAGGTTTCTAGGGTTTAGATTTAAGGGTTGAGGGTCTTGGGTTCTAGGTTTCTCGGGTTCTAGGGTTCTAGGGTCTTAGGGTTCTTGGGATCTAGTGTTCTAGGGTTCTGCGGTCTAGGGTTTTACAGCTCGGAAGATTCAGAGTCTTAGGGTTTAGGAGTTCATGATTTAGGGTCTCATGGATGAGCGATTAGGGTTAAGGGCTCAGTGTTTAGGGTTTTAGGTTGAAGGCTTTCAAGGGTTTAGGATGTAGAGTTTAGGGCTTAGGATATACTGTTCTGGGTTCTTGGGTTCTAGGGTTCTAGGGTTCTGGGGTTCTAGGGTTCTGGGGTCCTAGGGTTCTGGGGTTCTGGGGTTCTAGGGTTTAGACTTTCAAGTTTAGGGTGTCGGTTTTAAGGGTTTCGGGGTTTCAGATGTACGGCTTAGGATTTAGGGTTTAGCATTTCGGGTTTAAGGTTCTCGGTTCTAGGGTTCTAAGGTTTAGGGTTTAGGGATTAAAACTTAGGGATCTAGGGTTTGGCATTTAGGGTTTAAGGTTCAAGGGGTTCAAGGGGTTCTAGGGTTCTAGGGTTCTGGGGTTCTAGGGTTTGGGGTTATGAAGTAAGGGTGAGATTGTCGCACTTCATTAGTTTGGAGAGATGCTCAAGCAAACAGACTATCCGATCTTGGGCCGTCCTGTTTGTTTCAGGAAATCCACACTGCTGGTTTGAGTGCATCTTCATGACAAAAATCGGAGGGATGTGGAAGAGAACAGTGGTGAGATTATGCCTGCCCATCTGATAGTATCTGTTTGCCAGCATAATTTTTTTAAAAACGGTCACGGCCTTGAGATATCATCATCGAGCTGACCGTCCTAGGTAATTCCGAATTGGCGTATTTTACTCGTCTGCTTCTTCTGGGGTTCGAACTCGGGTCTCTATTTCAACAGTTCAGGGGTGTACCAACTGTGGGCATACTCTCACTAGGACTTTTTCATGTATTTCTGGACGGAATTGCGGCCATATACATCCAGGTATGGGCGCGAATGCAGTCAGATTCATTTGAGATACTGCCAGTGTGAGTACGCCCTGAGCTAGGCCAGTTGGTGCCATCAAAATTCCAAACCGTGCTTAGTGATTGATTTGGATCGGTAAAAGGCGGCCGGACGGCTTACAGATAATCTTCCAGAAATGACAAAGCGTCTCCTTGTCACTTGATCGGTTCACGTTGCTTTACTAGTTTACAACATCACGCATCGTTAGTGTGACTCGGCGGTCTTCCTTCCTGAAAGCGGATGGTGATGCCGATTAATCGGAGCGTCTGCTATTGAGATAACAACGCAATGCATGGCTTTCGTAAAGAGATGGTTGTGTTACTGTGAAGCTTGATGACGTCCTATCCCACTCAACCAGCAGGTAACCTTTTTTCTATCTAGGGGAACAATCAATGGTTTATCATGGCGGCTCTATACGTACTCCTAGAAAATGGATGACATGTAATGGTCAGTTGCTGTGTGGTGTTCATATACTCTTTGCAAAAAAAAAAAAAAGAAAGAAAGAACCCTTTTAAACCACCTGTTCACACGAGCCTGAGTTGACGAATCTACCTCGCAAAGCTAGCAAACCTGAAACTGCACTTTTCCAAAGTGGCCTGCCACTCTCGCTACTGGCCCAGGCCAGAATCGAAATGCTCTTACCGCATAAACGGGTAAGAGCAGTACTCTGCTTCGGGTGAACTGACGGCTAGGATCTGTTTTCCAGCACGTGTGGCTTCCCACCAACTTATAGGGGATTTGTTTTGTTTTGTTTTGTTTTGTTTATAAATAAATAAATAAAAAAACACAAAAAAACAGGACAGGTATCCGCCAATCTCGCCCTCTTGGCTGGAGCCAGCCAGGTTGGCCGATGTCTAATGAACAAACTCACAGCTGCCAGAGTTTTGCACCACCTTCTATCAGCCCTTCCTCACGAGTCCTGACCTACATTTCATTCTTTTTTTTTTTTTTTTTTTTTTTTTTTTTTTTTTTGGCAATCTTCTTTCATACCTTCGAGACAGTTCACCCTTTAATGTCAGCTCAGGGCAGACTCACACTAGAACTTTCCAAAATGTATCTGACTCACGCTAGAACTTTCCAAAATGTATCTGACAGTCTGCAATTTTGGCCAGGCCTAGATGACAGTCTGACAGTCTGACTGCAATCACGTGCAGACGTTAGAATACAAAGTTCTTGTAATGACTTGCTGCTTGCTGCCGTATCTGTCTGCAGGGTTGTACACTACGGTGTGGTTTTGCCTGCTGAGTTTGCGGCATGTTTGTTACTGTGTGATTGCTGTGTGATTGCGGTAGAGTTTGAGTGTTCGCAGGCCCTAAGGGGCACTGCGCCCTAAGTGCTGTAGGACTGCTGTAGAGGTCGGGTAGGCCCTTAGGGCAACGGTACCGGTAGTAGTTTCGGTCCAGTAGGTTAGGCCGAAAACTATAGGTAGAGTAGGACCGAGAGTTAGGGACTTTTGGCTTTCATTTTTCGCATGCAGCGTTGGTGGCCAACCAAGTTGAGCAGCGCTGAATGTCTGCAGTGCCACCGGAGACATCAGCCGTGAGTGGAGCAGCCATAGCCCGCCACCTGAGACAGCCATAGCTGGGGCAGCGCATCTATCCCCTGGGGGATATCTGCGTTGGCAGGACTATCTGGGAGGTCTTCACAGAGGTAGCAGCCAGGCAGCCATAGCTGTCTTCTTCATCGCCAGAGTGACTCATCGGCACTGGAGGCTACTTCGCTATTCATGATCTGCATCTGGGTGTATGGCGCTGGCCTCTGGGAGGCTATTTCTGTGCAGCACTAGACTCTGAGAGTGTGGTAGTGAGTGGAGTGGCGAGATACTGGGTTGAACTCTGTTACGATAATTGAGGTTAACTGTGTTGAGTTGGCTCATCATCTGGGTTACTTTCCAATTGTGATCTTCGCAGTGTCAATTGTGATTGGTTGTTGGGAGTGTGTCAGGGAGAGAGAAACACTGAGTTTATTCTCCCCTTCTGTGCATAATTGCTATTCCGCTGTTTATCTCTGATCTGTGTGCAGTTGGACCCTGTCTCCTTCTCCCCTTTGTCTCATGCATGTGTGGGCGTGTGTGAGTTCTTCTGAGTGAGAGTGACAAATAAAGTGTCAGACAACCAAGTTCATAACAGTTCTAGTCAGAGTATGCCCTGAGAAGTGGATTCCTGAGCAAGGACGGAAAGTTATGGGTGATGCATTTTGCAGGCCAGGCCGCCAGGGCCAATTTGATACGGTATTTAAGGACCACCGGATGTTGATGTTGAGTAATAAGTTCACAGTCGCTGACCATCATGACGATGACGCTATCGGACAAGCACGGGATTGAATCCTTGCGAGGGCAGTTTTTTTTTTTCTTCCACCCGGCCCTTGTGGCTGAATGGTACACACCCATGAGCAGGCGATAAATAGGTGTGAGTTCAAGTCCTGCTGGAATTAGAGAAAGGAAAAAAAAAAAAAAAAAAAAAAAAGACTCTGAATTAGCTGGTCAGTTCAATGATTGCAAGGGTGGTGATGGTGGGATGGTGGAATGGTGGTGATGATGAAACAGTTTTCACCTCGTTGCAGTAGCAGATGCAGATCCCAGGGCTCGATCCCTAGACCTTCCCCTACCCGTGTACAGTACCTGTGTAGACCCCGAGAGTTGAACCTGTGACCTGTGTATTCGTAAACAGTTGGTAGGCTGTCATAGGTCCGTAGGTAGCAGGGGTTCGATCTGTAGACCTTTAGAATAGAAGTCTTAGCGAGTTCCAAAAGTCCTAGCTGTAGTCCTTCTAGAAGGTCAGCAAGTGGGCAAGTGGGCAAGTGGTGAGTCAAGTGGTGGACAAACTGCAGTGCAATTGCAGTACGACGACGGTAGGTTAGTAGTGAGTCCCCACTCAGTCAGCGGTAAGGTCCAGTCAGTCCCATTCCGATTCAGCAAGTACACACAAGGGACTGTGAGCACCATGGGCCAATGGCAAAGGGCAGACCAACGAGTTTCAGAAGTATAAATCAAGAGGCAGCGCCCAGCCATCGATTCATTCCTGCGTGAGCCATGCGGAAGCGCTGCCACAGCGACTTGTGCAAGGAGGTCTGCAGTGAGCCCTGTGTGTGTGTGTGTTCAGAGTGAAGCGTGTGGGATATCCAGGGTGATCCGGTGTGTACGAACAGAGAGTTGTTTGGGCGCTAAGTCGCCATAGTCATTGGAAGTGAACTCTTATCTGGGTTGCCATATCTCTGAGTATTGAGTGGGCGCATGTCGCCAGTTGCTGCGTTACTGTTTGTATGCATGCAAAGTGTGAATGAGAACGAGTCTGATTGCAATGAGAGCGATGCTGAAGATGGTGAAGATGGTGAAGGTTGTGATGGCGGTGATGGTGTTGAAGGTGTTGAAGGACACGGTACTGAGATAGTGATGGTGGTGATGGTGCTGATGTTGGTGCTGATGTTGGTGCTGGTGGTGATGGTGGTGATGGTGGTGATGGTGGTGACAGTGTTGGTATGGTGATGGTGGTGATGGTGATCATGACGGTGATGTTGATAGTGATGGTGATGGTGATGGTGATGGTGGTGGTGAAGGTGGTGAAGGTACTGAGATAGTGATGGTGGTGATGGTGCTGATGTTGGTGCTGATGTTGGTGCTGATGTTGATGATGGTGGTGATGGTGGTGATGGTGGTGATGGTGATGGTGATGGTGATGGTGATGGTGATGCTGATGGTGATGGTGATGGTGAAAGGATAAGGGACGAGCCACGCCATTGTCGAAAAACTCGTTTTCGACATTTCTACATCGCCACACTGCCTGGTGAGGGGCAAGATGTCGCACGTGCTTCAACACCTGTCGGACGAGAGGTTTGGACAGCCTCCCTTTGCAACTCGAAACTGTCTGCCTGCAGCACCCCGGAATTCAACAGCTCGACTTCGAGGTAGTGAAAAAGAAGGCCAGGCAGAGTGCCGGCGTTTCGGCAGAGCTCGGCGTGCAGGGGGAAGCCACCTCAGCAAGAAGAGGTTTGGAAATCAAGCCAATCTGAGAATTTCGGAGGCTTGGGACTACCGGACCAAAATGGCTGGCGGGGCTGGCGTTCCGGCAAAGCCTGGCACGCAGGGGGAGTCCGCCTCGGCAAAAAGGGGTTCGCATGTACCGTTTGGTTTGACGGAGAGATGTGTAAAGTGGGTTAATTTTTTTTTGTAATGGGTGCCTGACCTGGTTTCCAGTAATCGATAAACGATAGATTTAATTAAGAAAAAAAAAACAGAGAAAAAAGATTAGCATGACCCCTGCACAGTTACGGATGACACACATCAATCGAGAAGTGGTCCAATTTCCGTCCAAATCATCAAAAAGAAGAGGGAGGGGGAGGAGGGAGGGGGGAGGGGGAGGGGGGCGGCACGCGAATCACTAGCAAAGAAAAGAAACAAACCTTAATTCCTAGGATGGCCAGGCAGGTTAACTCCTCCGTGGGAACATTCCAATCTTCCGCCCGCACTTGCGTTAATGGCGCATTACTCGTGACATGAGTATATGCGAGCACCAATGTTCGCAGTGATTGCGTTGCCATTCTTTCAATGATCTCCAGAAGTTCAGTTGTCTGATAGTTCATCCAAAGGTCAAGAGGAACAACAAAAAAAAGGGGGAAAAAAAAAATTGAGTATCAGGATCATTGTACAGTCAACCAGAGCACATCATAAAAAAATGCACCGTACATTCAGCTCCTTTTTTTCTTTTTTTGTTGTCTTGGTTTGGTTGTTCGCTTGGGTCTTCTTCCTAAGGAAAGAGAAGGTCATTGTCCCCCCCCCCCAACACCAAAAAAAAAGGTGATTGTTTCTGATCACCTCCCCACACTCTCTCTACAAAATAACTTGGAGTAAGAGAGTAATGCTAGTGACTTATTAAGTTATTACTGACCTCTCTTTTTAATCAATTACAACTTTTAAAAGTTGAAAAAGTATAAGGACTTTGTTATTACAACCAAATTTCCCAAATAACTTCTTTTTTTTTTTTTTTTTTTTGGGGGGGGGGAACTACGCGGGAGTCACGAAAACGAGTTATAATTTGCACTATGGGCCAAGGTTGAGGGGCATGTCAGGGTAGAACTTAGTGAGCTTCATGGGGTTCGCAAGTTTCTCTGTAATTCTAAGAATGCGCCAGTTCGGGGTGGACTAGCTAGCAGGATCGACGTTAACAAGGCCTGCAACGATGCACTGATACCACTACGGACTATGGGCCTGATTCACTCGCAGGATTGACTGTGTATTCACTTACACCAAGTTGGCTGATGGGAACAGGGAGGGAAAGAAGGGACAATTAGCGCGGAGTACGTACATATGGGGTCAAGAATGCATTGGATGGAGTCCGACTTGTTCTCTCTCCTGTGGACAGGAAAGGAATAGGGACGAAGATTTTCACTCGCAATCATCTCACTTTTTTGGTAGTTGTTGTATATGAACGGTATGGATCTGATGTTTAATGCGAACAACAACTACCAAAAAAGTGAGATGACTGAGAGTGAAATTCTTCACAATATGAGGGAAGATTACAAAGAACGGGGGCTAAACCGGATTGCCAATTGAGATGGAAAGGGGAAGTTGCAAGCAGCATATGTCATAGCAAAAGACGAAGACCTCGAAAACGAAGACCCATTGTTCCCACTTTTTTGAACCCGGAAAGAATGCTGTTTGCGACTTTGTATGCCTCAGTAAGTTTTTGCATTTTCTGATGAAGAATAAAAAAGAAGAGAACTTTAACCTACCAACCACAAGTGCCTTGAAATCCCGAATTGGAAAAATAAACGAGAAAAAAAAACAAAGGGAGTTCGGATTGGATGGACGTATCATACTCAGGAGTCGGGGCATATGATATAAAAGAAATGTTCACGGAATTACCTCATGAAGAAATATCGGCGGCTGTGGCTTGGTTGATTGAGACTTGTCACAAACGAGGTATCCAGTGGCTGAGAATCAAGACACGGGGGAAGAAGGCTACTTTCGGGAAATCCCATGGGGAAGATGGCTGGAGCCTGGCGGTCTATTTGATTGTCACATCTCAGATCTATGGTGGACTTCCAACTGAGCCACCTGTTCTTTATAGCTAAGGGGTAAAACTTGAGGCAAAGGGTGGGTATTCCGATGGGGGGGAAGGCGAGCCCTGTGCTCGCCTGTGTTCTCTGCATATTTGCTGAAACACGATTCCTGGGATCTCTAGGTCGTGATAGAAAATGGATGCAAGGGGATCGGTTCATGGACGATCTACAACGGCATGAATCCAGGGGAGAAACAGAAAGCACAGACCAGACTGGACCTGATTCCGAGATGCTATCACCGAGATCTCACCCTCGAAAGGACCGACGCGGGCACTGGGATAATTTCCTTCCTCGATACCAACCTGATCGTAGCTGACTTCCCAGCCTGGGTGGGTATGACCCACAGATTCAAGAATGTAGACGTGATCTGGAACGTTGGGGAGAGACACTTCAAGACAATCAAGGAATTTCAAATAATTTGTTAATTATAATAGTAAAAACTGTAAAATTAATAATTATCTTTTTGAGAAGATGCTCCCTTGTACCATTGTGGCGTGTGTGACAGAGTGGAACATGGTTTATGTCTAGCGCTCACAATAGACATAATTTTTTTATTTTTATTTTTTTTAAATTATGTTACAATCCGGCAGTTCAGACTCCCCCAGGTCCGCCCAGGAGGGTGGCTTTTGAGTGTCTTCCTTGTGTTGTCGTCCATTTGCCTCATGGTTTGGCCGTCCCGTGTGTTTCTAAGTGCCTAAGCCCAGTACCCTCAAGGTGTGCCAAATAGTCGGTACTGGTTTGTATGGGGTGCCTGCAGCACTATTAGGGGGGCTGCTGTGTTTGGGATGTCTGTGTCCCTTTGTTTTCCAGTTGTGACAGACGTTCATCTTATCGCTTCCTGGCTCCATAAGCGGTGAACCTAAGGTCTGCGGGTTTTTTCATATGACGCAAGTACTACCTTCTTCACCCGAATAGAACGCCCGGTCTTATAGCCGTATCTGGACTGAAAATTGCACCAAATACGGCTATAATGACCGGGCGTTCTATTTGGGTGAAGACGGTAGGTGACAGTCCAATTTGATCCTTGACATGTATCCTCGGGTTTGTGCTGCTGTGTGCCTTGCTGTGCTGGTGTCCTGCCGGCCCGGTTGCCTTGCCGTTTAGTGGCTTGTTCCCTCGCTGCTCACTTCGCTTCCCTGATGCTTGCCTTTGCTTACTGGCTTGTTCCCTTGCTGCTGGCCTTGCCTTGCTGCACTGTTCCCCTCCTGCGTTGCAGAAAACCTTGCCTCGCTGCTGTTTTTTTCTTTCTCTCTCTTTACTTTTAAAAAGCGTGACAGCCTTGAGATCTCATCATTGAACTGACCGGCCCCAGGTAATTCAGAATGATGTTATTCTGGTCATCTTTTTGTATCGGGATTCGAACTTGGGTCTGTATTTCAACAGTTCGTAGGCGTACCAACAGAGCTGGCCCCGGTGGTCCTTGCGTTGCTGCCTTGGTCCCCTGCTTCTCTCTGTTTTCTTGTACCCTTTCCCTTGCCCTGTTGCCTTGCTGCTTGCCTTGGCTTGCTGCTCCATGTGCTACCGTGCTGCTTGCCTTGTTGCCCTCCTACTTGACCACTTGGCTGCTCATAGTGATACCCTTTGGCTTGATTTGCCGCCCTTCTGCCTCACTGCCTTGTTGCCTTGCTGTTCATTGTGTTACCCTGCTGCTTGCCTTGCTGTCTAATTGCCCTTCGGCCTTGGCGCCTGCTGCATTTTGCTGCCCTGTGGCTTGCCTCGCTGCCTTGCTGCTTTCTTCACTCTTTACTTGCGTTGTTACCCTCTGGGCCTGGCACTCTGCTACATTGTGCTGCTCTGCCAACTGCCCTGCTTTGTACTGTTTAATGCATAATGTGTCGAGTGCTTTGCCGTGTTGTCATGTGCCAGCCCTTCTGCCCAGTTGCCCAGCTGCATGCCTGCTTTGCTTTGCTATATATTGCCTTGCCTATGCTGTGCTGTATGCTTTCTGTGTGTTTGCCCATTTGCATAAGGGTCTGAAGCTGATTATGAGTCAAAACATTGTGACTTAGAGGGGATCTATTGCGGACAGTCGAGGGTTCAGCCTCCTGATGATTCGGTGTAAGTTTGACAGAGCATTCTGCTCGTACTCATGTGTTCATTTCTGTGTCATATCCGTATGTCTCGTCTGCTCTGTTTGCTATATCCGCATATGTGTGGGGATCTACGGGAGTAGACCTATCAGCCAATGTTAACATCCAACAGCGAATATCTCCTACAATGGACCTACATAGTAAATGGGACAAAGAACTGTTAAGGAGGGAATCGGTTATGCTGAAGATCGGTGTACCACAAAGTATATATGTCTATATGTAGGGCAACGTAGCATAACTGCTATGGAATATCATTGCAGCACAAACACATACACACACACAATCATATCATCTATAACTTCTCTTCTTTTTCTAAGTATTATCGTTCTGTTGTCTGCATTGTGCGCTCTCTGATCTGTTCTTGTTCTGTGCTTCTCCTGCCTAAGTGAGCACCTTAAAGATGCGCCAAATAGTCAGTGCCATCACAATACAAACACCTACACACAAAGTCGTACAATCCACAACTTCTCTTTATTTTCCTCTTCTCGTTCTCAGTATTATCTTTCAGTTGTCTTCTCTGTGCACTCTCTGTTATTGTTCTGTGATTCTCCTTTGTCTACGTGAGCACCTTAAAGATGTGTCAAATAGTCAGTGCATGTTTTATGGAGTGCCTGCGACACTGTTCTTTCTGGCTTCGGACCTTCGGTGGTTGTTTGAACCAACAGTCTGTAGAGTTCTTCATGCTGTGTGAGTAGGTGATGATCTGCTTCAATCCATGCTGTATGAGTGACTGCCTTCAAGTTGTCGGTGCACCTTGGTGCCTGGCTGCCATTCCGCTTGCCTTGTGTGTGTTGCCCCACTCCCTTGAGTGCCCTTTCGCTTGCCTTGTGTGCTGCCTCGCTGTCTGGATGCCCATCTGCTTTGCCCCGTCCCATGCCCCACTGCCTGGCTGCCCATCTGATTTGCCCTTCCCCATGTCCCGATGCCTCGTTGCCTAGCCGCCCATCGTGCTACCCTGCTGTTTGACAGACCACACACCTCTCCCCCTGTTCCGCCCAGCCCATATGCCTTTCTCTTGCTTGTCATTTGTTGCCTTGATCCCTCAGCTGTGCCCTGCTGCTCGTGATGTCAGCTGTCAGCTCTCCAATCACAACCGGGGTTACAGGAGACCGTGACTCAAATTGTCAATATGGGAATTCTTCCGACTGTTCAGGGTTCAACCTCATGATGAGTCATCGCAAGCCCGACGAAACAGTCTGCCGTGATCCTTGCTCTTCGTTTTTCTCCCCCTCTCTGTCTCTTTCTTCCTATCAGTTTTCCAGTTGGCTTCCTTACGATACTATTTCAGACCTTGTTTCAATAATTTGATCTTGCGGAAACGGTTTCCCATGCTCATGTGATGCACTCAACCGCTCACACCATGCTGCAATGCAAAAATGCAACAGTTCTCCAGCACTCACAGCCACCCATAGTGTCACACACTCGCTCACACACACACTCACACTTGCACAAACAAAGTGTCAAACACGCGGTCACACACACTGTCACACACACGCACACACACACAGAGACATGTTTTCACATACACGAGTGCTCTTTATCCTTTTAGGGTTTAGGGGTTAGGATTTATTGAATAGGTTGGGCAATGACCTTCTGCTTGGACAATGACATGGTCTTCCCGGCATCTGCATCAAAATAGTTCTGGCACATGTGGAGCACAATCTCTGAGGCACCTTTCCAGTATACGTAAACACCACGGCGACCTGGGATCTAGGCATGATTGGCAGACCGGCAAAGCGTACAAAAAAGTGAGGAAACTGGGAAGTGGATGAAAAAACAATGCAAGTGTTAATGCAAAAAAAAAAAAAAAAAAAGTTTGTGTGGTTTTTGGAGCCAGGGAGGCAGTCAAGACCAGGCTAGACTGTGACAGAGCCAAAGGAGAGAGGTCAAAAAATCAAGGCAGAGCAAGCAGACTTTGGCAAATGAATCTGGTCACCATGGTGGCCAGGTAAGTAGAAGACAAAGCACAAGAAACAAAGGGGACAAGGACATAATGCCCCGCTTGACTATTGTGAGGATTGAACCCTCAAGTAGGGGCCTTGCCATGATGTACATGTTCTGGGCTAAGGCCCCAGCAAGCCTAGTGCCCGCCCTAAGTGAAGGCGGGCCAGCAAATCAACAAGAGCCCTCTGTGCCAACATTTCACGAAGTGGGGTCTATACAGTTGCAGCACGCCAGTTGGTTGGAGTGCACCGAGTCTCGGATTTCAGCAAGTGCTGAAATGCCCAGGGCCTCTGAGTTAGTTAGGCCCTGGGCACTCGAACGTGAGACGACAATGCATGCTGGGTAGAGAGGCCGAAAATGCCAAAGGGAAATCGGCCCACTGTCTGAATCTGGCCGCAGGCCTTGATGAAGGAGGCGCAAC